TGGTAATTTATGAAATGTATTTTGTGTAATATTTTAGTAATTGTATGTAAACATGGTATATTTCGACAATTGTTAATAATTTTAAAGCAAATGACGGATAAATAACATGATATGCCATGATATCCTCCTTACTTATTCAACTAGAATATAACTTATTAGAATTGTATTAATTTAAATATTTGAAGGAAAACAAGAGCACCGGATGCAGTGCAAACACTTGTCTGTTAAGGGCAACGGTTAGTTTATGAGCGGTATAATGTAACATATGTTATGCTCTTAGCGCATCACTGTGTCATTGTGAATTCTCAAAATATTGGTAATTACACATATGTGAAAAAGGGACATAACTCTATAAATCCTGACCACTTTGTTATGTCCCTTGTCCACATTGACAATTATGATCAAAATAAATACAATTTCTTTAATAGTTTTCAATAACCAAATTAAAAATTCTTAACTCGGTTGTGTCGAGGACAGCGTACTATGAAAAACGCCGTCTTGCCTCGTTGATCTTTTTGCTCATTTACTCATTTTCACCCACACACTGACAAAAATGCTTTAAGGATATTGACAATAGACTTACAACCGTTCATGATAATCAAGTTATTTTGTTGTTGATATCTTGATAGTTTCAAATAATTCTTTATATGCATATATGCATACTTTTACTTCTAAGTAAAACAAAGACATAACGCCTACAGAATAATCATGCTTGTCTAACAAGTGTGTCATCTCTAATGATAACCAAGCATTCAAGGTTTCATATTGATAATTTTTATAGTTTTGAAATCATTTTACATAGGAAAAAATAAATTTTAAAACAATTGTATGTTGAAAAGGAGATATAACTCCAAATTAAAGTAAGTTATCAGAACAATACCTTTGTTTTTTAACAATATCTTCCAATTTTAATTAAATATTTCAAGGTTTGTGTTGATATATTTATGAGTGTTTGAGTAATGTGCTACACTTTAATTTTTGTACAACGACAACAACTACGACGCTGTGATCATAATAGCTCGCCATTTTCTTTAAAACAGATGGGCTGAAAATGTTATTTAAAATGTTAAAATTGTTTCAAAAACATATTCTTGTACTTAATCTTTCCTGTTTTTTGGGAGTTTTTCTCTATTAATTGAGACAATGGGAACACGAAGATGATATGAGAGAAATGAAACACTGTGCAATGTGATTTGATATGTATTGTGAAAATATTCATACAAACACTTTCTAATGTTATAGGAAACTTTATTACTTGAAAGGTTCTAAATATGTGTAAGATATAACTTTAAATGTAGTATTTGGAGTAGTATCTGCAAAACACATCTTTTGTGGTTCATATTTCATTAAGCAACCTGAACTATCACTAACCTGCTGAAATTCTTACATGACATTGGTGAGCTTTCTGTTTTTGAAAATGGCACATATCAATTTTTGGGGATTTAAAGAGGACAAGAGGACATTGATTTGTGATAAAATCAAATGGTTGTTGTTAAAGAAATCACTTATTACTATGGAAGTCACTGCAACAGAAAGTAAATATTTGGAATTAGGAATTCGCTGGATGCTAAGGAAAGGCAATGTTTGCTATTGAAGTCAATGACTACAAAGGAATGTAAATGGTTGCTGTGGTAATAATTAGTTGTTATAGAAAGTCAATAGCTGCTCTGGAATTCACTGGTTGTTATGAAAGTTTACTTTAAAATACTTACATGCCAACGATAAACAAAATCATTGATTTCCTTAAAACGTTAACATGCGGTAACTATGAGGACAGACGGACGGACAACAGCATACCAACCTAAAAGTACGCCCCAAAGTTATTCGGGCGTATAAAAAGTATGTGATGATATGATAAAGTTAAAAAATATATATACTTACAGTTTTGTCATTAATGTTTCTTCGCTCTGTCATAAAAGCAACAATTCTTCCTCTGAATAAATATTCAGATCACATTTAAAACATTTACTCACATCTTACGTTATATCAGTGATAATAGCTTACTGAGAAAATAGAATCAACTTAGCTCAGTAAAAATTGTTGTTTACATTAATGTTCCTGATGTTCTTATGCTCAAGTGAGGAAGTTGTGAATTGTAAACGTACATATTGTCAAAATTCATAGAAGTTTTTAAAGGATGGGTAAGATAAAATTTATAAAGGTTACAGAAATTTCGCTATTGATTAGAGTTATCAAATTATACATACATACTATAACATACAGTATTTAGCACAGTTGACAGAGATGGAGAAAAAAACACTACAGAAACATTCACTGTGTGGTTTAGGAAAGGGGGGACATTTACTTTTTGGATGAAAATGTGCGTTTAAACCAATTGGAATATTCTTTTTTTAAACCCGCATTCCTCCGAGAAAAAATGTGCTCAGATTTGAAGAAAAGTAAAATGTTAAAGTAATAATATACATGTTAATGTGCGATTAAATAGCGATTTTACAAACCTTTGTTTGTATTTACAGTTCAAGTAAAGCTGCTCTTTTTGTTTTAGAAAAACAGCCGTTTTTTATGACACTATATATTCATATTGTAACTACTATAGCATGTAGAATTTCAAACATAACATATCTACTTTGTGTATTTTATATTTACATCGAAAATTTCAAGTGTAGCAACTATCATTATTATAAATTATCAAATTAGAACATGATGTATCTTTAAACCACTCTCGTGTCCGCTTCATAGAACTAACAGTTACTATAGTGCCATATGTAAATACATAGTCGTGACCGCAGAATATCTCGAATCCTTGATGGCAATCACCTTTACCACTTGAGTATGAGTTAAGTCGAGTACTTTGATGTAATTGCGGCATGTTTCCTCTTTTTTACTTTTTTGAAACGCCTAAATGATAGCGAAACTATATTTGAGGTGCAGATATTGTAACTTTAATATTTAAGCGATTGTGTCTATTTATCATAAAAAAGATTTAAGTGAAAGTGATATTTCCGTGATTATATTTCCACGGAAACTTTCTCAAGCTTTTAAAACAAGAACCCAACTAAACTGTTAAAACAAGGAAGTTGAAAACAATCTAAAACCGCAAGTTAAGTAACAGATCACTTTTCCTTATAGGATTAACATTTAGAATATTTGAAGTAGGGAACAAGTTATACTTTATGATTTTTTTTCATTTACATTCAATACTTCCTGTTGTTTTCATCACTGTAGGTGAAAGTAATTATTATTCAATTATCTCACCCCTATTAAAACAGCTACCTTTTATTATATTTTTTACACATAATTCAGCAATTTAGGAGCTAGATTTAGTCAGAACCGACATACGACCGAAATGGATAAGGGGCCATTTCTTTTGTTACTTTTGTTTTTTAATAATCGGCCATTTGTCCTGTACTCTATTATTGCGGATATCTTTTGTTCTGTATACCGCCTGTATACCGCAAAATGGCTACCCTCTATTCGACAGTGCATGGTAAAAAACTCCGTTCACTGGTACATTCTCGGGACAGTTGTGTGTAATCAATATTCCCGCTTGTTGCTGAGGGTTGCCTTCAACAGTTGAGGCACCAGAATTGCATCCTCTGTTTGTTTAGTACGAGGCGGCTATAAGGATTCGAATTACTGGAGTCTATGCATCTCATAGTTCCAGCAGGTGAGGCGGTTTCGACCCCTGTTGTTACTTCATGTTTGTAACACCCGACACTAGCCAAAATCTGTTTGGCGCCACATGAACTAAATTGTGTTGGAGCGCCGTAATACCAATCAAACAGAAAGTAAAACAATATTGGTTCGAAACTGTATATACAGATCACAAAACATGTATAATAACGCGTATATAAAGACCTCAACAGACGGTAGGATTTTGAAGTACAACACCAATTAAAACTAAGATGTAAAAGCCAATTTTAATGTGTGAAGGCTACTTTTTCTTGAATTCGTAAACGTAAGGGAAAGGACATGTTCTATTTTGAAAATCTTGTCGTACAGATTTCTATAGACCTCCCACAATGACAAGTAACAGATTACCAAATTATCTCCTGATAATGGGTGTAATGAACAATTAGGGCTAAAAGGTAAACATAGTAGAAAAATGGGGTAAAATTGATGTTGAAAAAAAGTTGTGGTATGTTCGAATCCCAAATTGTTCCGAAAATGATTATGTCACGGTATTGAACTGTTCTCTAATCAGGGGAGGTAGTTTGTAGGCGGCCGGATAGCTCAGTCAGTAGGACCGCAGTACAGTATTCCGAGGCTCTCAGGTTTGAGTCTCGGTCAGCCTGCACATTAAAAAATAAAATTTAACAATTTTTAAAAAAAGATGGAGGTGTTTCAATCATTACTCATGGAGAGAAAAAAAAAACACTTTTAGTGAGTAAAGTATGTAAGGGATCAATTGGGAGGGAACTTTTTTTAGGGAAACCTGATATGATTCCTATAATGCAGAATGACCGTCTGAATGCAAGTGTTGTATTGCTTTGAAAATTGTTCATCTTATCTCTAATTTGTGTTGTACAACTAAATCCTACCGTCCGTTGAGGCCTTAACTATTCAAGGCACAGGGTACACAACATTGCATAACATATTTCCAACCTAAAAAGGCCCGAGTTAAAAATGTTTTTGATATTTTCCTTATTACTTTACTGGAATACCCATTAAAGTGGGTTTCATATAACATCAAGTCAACGTTTTTATTTCTCTTTCGGTCAATAAACCTTATACATATGTATATTTTCCCCATGAAATCTATTTTTACCTAAATACAACATTGCAATGTCATGTGAATGTGGTTTGTGCAGTTGTGTCCATATATGGTAGTATTAAATTAAGTTATAATAAATTTAAAAAGTAGATCCTGGATGTAAGCCAATACATCTTATAATAACTTTCCTTCTAGTTTGTAGATGACGTGATGTATACCAGAGGGACTTTCTTAGAAAAAACAACGACAAAAACAAAACAAAAAACAAACAAGTTTCTAAACAACTTTTTTATGAGTTTATTTTAGATTCCGCCTATTTAAAATATGTTTAAAGAACATTGTGAAATTAAACAATTCTGCTGTTTAATATTATTTACATTTCTTTCGAAAATACAAATAAATGCAAAATACATTTTATCAAAAATTCAGTGAAAAAATGACTGTTTTAAAAACAGAAGGAAGTATACCTTTTAATGATGTGCTTTACGACTTTTAAATAATCTTAACTTTCATTAAATCATTCTTTAACTTTGATGGTAATGCAATTTAATGTCAACGCAAAATAATAGAAAATCAGAATGTTGAAAGTGTTTCATGGAGGTAATGAAGTGTGAGCCGTGGCGGTAATGCAGTGTGAGCCATGGCGGTAATGTAGTGTGAGCCATTGCGGTAATGTAGTGTGACTCATGGCGGTAGTGTGAGCAATGGCGGTAATGTAGTGTGAAGCATGGCGGTAATGTAGTGTGAGTCATGGCGGTAATATAGTGTGAGTCATGGAGGTAATGTAGTGTGCGCTATGGCGGTAATGAAGTCTGAGCCATGGCGGTAATGTAGCGGTAATGTAGTGTAAGAATTGGAGGTAATGTAGTGTGAGTAATGGCGGTTATGTAGTCTGAGCAATGGCGGTAATGTAGTGTGAGCAATAGCGGTAATGTTGTGTGAGTCATGGCGGTGATGTAGTGTGAGTCATGGCGGTAATGTAGTGTGAGCAATGGCGGTAATGTAGTGTGAGCCATAGCGGTAATGTAGTGTGAGTCATGGCGGTAATGTAGTGTGAGCAATGGCGGTAATGTTGTGTGAATAATTGCGGAAATGTAGTGTGAGTCATGGCGGTAATGTAGTGTGAGCAATGGCGGTAATGTTGTGTGAGTAATTGCGGTAATGTAGTGTGAGTCATGGCGGTGATGTATTGTAAGCCATGATGGTAATGTAGTCTGAGCAATGGCGGTAATGTAGTGTGAGCCATGGCGGTGATGCAGTGTGAGCAATGGCGGTCATGTAGTGTGAGCAAGGCGGTAATGTAGTGTGAGTCATGGCGGTAATGTAGTGTGAGTCATGGCGGTAATGTAGTATGTTTCATTGCGGTAATACAGCGTCAGCCATGGCGGTAATGCATTGTGAGTCATGGCTGTAATGCAACACTTAAGGTGACACAATGACAATTCAATATGTAGATAATGCAAAATGATTATAATTCATTATGATTGTAATGCAATAAGAAAGTAAAACAAGACATAATGGTAATGCTACACCAGGGAAATAATGTAAAATAATGGTAATGTATCAGGTGACATTGCAACATGATAATGCTGACAAAGTCATGATAATGTAATATATGTAATTGGTGATCCAATATTATGTGTAGTTTACATGGAATTAATGGAACATTATGGTAATGTATCTTGATGGCAATGCAACACGATGTAAATGCAACATTTAGAAAAATGCAGCATAGTGGTAATGTTAGCAGCTAGTAATTCAACATGTAAATACTGCCACCTATTGGTAATTCAAGATAAAAGGTATGTCTTTTATGCAATATTCTTCCCCCTAGACTATCAACGTCTCCATCCATGCATCTTAGGTGCCTGCTCAGCAGAGCAGTGTCATAAACATAGTTGTTCTAATCTAATTGGTTAAAAGTTAAAGCTAAAACGCAAAAATATTTTTTTTTCGTTCAACATGTACACACAATTGTACGGCATTTGAACGGTCATTAAATACCAGCATTTTAAATTGATTGATTGATTGATTTTCTTAAGACTGGGCGGTAAAGAATAACCTAAGAAAGTGCAAGCACTTATTTTCAGTAGGGTCCTTACCTCAGCATACTCTCCAGAGCCAGCTGTGAGAGTATATGATTAATTTTAGGAAATATAAAGTATTTCATATAACGTGTATGTATGCAAAATGTATTTGAATTATTTTGTTTTTCAAAATCAGAAACTAAGGAGCCAGCTGTGAGAGTATAAGTTTTATTTTATGAAATATAAAGTATTTTATATGATCGCGTGTATGCAAAATGTATTCATTTTTTTCAAAATCAGAAACAAAGAAGCATTTTCCCTTTGCATTTCTCTCGTATAAGAAAAAACGAATTGACTTTCAATAATGTTTACCATTCAATTATGCTCAAGCTTTGGGTGGTAATGGAGGACGCATTGTATGTATTGAATTTGTCATGACCATACTGGTCTTTTCTTTTATTTACCGTACAACTTCAAACAGTTTTTGATTCAGTAAGCATGAGAAAAGCTTACAAATATGGATAACTGCTACATTATTTCTTGCTCTGACATGAAGAGAACGAATGTAACATTCCAATGCTTCCTGACGCCTCTCTTCTTGTTCCTGACATTGTCCAAGTAGGTTAAGAGCTGTTTCTTCATGCCAAAGAGATTTAATACGTTTATCCATCTCAATAGTTTTAGAGAGTTTATCCAGTGCTTGCTGTTTTTCCCTTTCTCTTCGCAGACGACTGTAAGTCTTATATTGTAGGAAGTAAAGGAAAGGTAAAGTGTCAACAACAGCCCAATCCATCCAATAGTCAAATGGACCCCTGTGGAACATCCCATCAGGTGTAGATCTGTACATTTCATATTGTAACTCTTGAGGAACACAGTGAATTTCCTGTGGTATAAATTGGACACAAAATGCTGTAATATGTTTAATACAGTCTTCATTTTGTTCAGTGCATACTCTTCCAAATCCATCAATTACTACTCTAACAGCATGTTCCCAACAGGCACAGATAGGTAAAACAGGGTGAGAGAAATAGTGATGTTCAGTTTGTCTCAATATGTCTTCAGTTTTCTTCATATCTCCTACACTGTAGAATACTGAAGCCAGTTTAAGTCTGCTAGATGAATTGTCTGAGTTTAAACCAGCTGAAAGCCACACCAATGCTTCAGGTGACACTTGATTATTTTCACCAATGCTGGATGATGCTAGGGCTGTTCCATATGTTGTATACAGAAAAGGTGCAAAGAGCTTAAATGCTGCCTGTTCTAATCTATGACCTTTTACACTGTAGGCAATTAGATTTTCTGTATATTGCTTCAATGTGCTAATGCCTGTATCATTGAATACATGAACATAATGTAAAACATGCTTGTAATATACACTTAATTCGCTAGCAAGGTTTATTAATTTTGTAGCCGAAAGAGTGTTACATATTTTCAAAGAGGACTGGAAATTGTACGCTCTTTGTGGTACTAAGTTCATTTCAACTTTTAGTCTGAGTCCAAGATCATCAATATCAATTCTTAACAACATTTGTCCATCACTTTCTATAAAATCACTGATATTTTTGGAAAGCAATAGTTTTGTTTCATTTGTTAACTGCCCTACCATCAAATTATTTTCATGTATAATGAAATGTGACAAATGGTCATTCTGAACACAACTGTGCAATTCCAGTAAACAGTATGTTAAACATGTAAATAAATTGTTATCTTTCCATGTACTTGACTCTGTGCTTTCTATACAGTGTAATAGAACTGTTTTACACATAAAACTTGATACATTAATTTCACCTCGAGGATTCAAGAAAGATTTAAGAATCATTTTCATTAAAACAAAACATCTTATTTGTGTTATATTTAAATCAAACATTAGACATCTTTCAGCAAGGGATGTAGATATTCTCCATTCCAGTTCAGGATATAAACTGACTTTACTTCCAGTTGGAACAACAAAACATCCTGTCCTGGCTGCAGATCTTCTCATCTCATGTGTCGGCCATGTCCCTAAACCCTGTCTCTCTAACCAACCTGATGCTGATTGAGGCCATGATTTACAGGGATAAGCTATCACATTATCTTTATCCTGCATTTCAGACATTCCTTGAAAAGCAATGGATGGACCATGCTTTACAGAACCATGAACCATAGAGCTATCTATCATTCTATTCTTAAGCAACATTCTTCCTCCTAGACTATCAACTATTTTATTGTCTTCAAATGGTAGGACTGGCATAGGAAGAGGTTCATGAGATCGGAGCAATTGTAGGAAACAATATCCGGGGGTAGTGTTTTCATCTTGTATCATGAGGTAATTATCCTTGCCATATTCCCACTCTGACCAGTCCTGTATTATATTATAATCGTGACGACAGAATAGTGCATCTGTGTCTGATGTAAGTCCTATAGTAGTTGTACCTTCACTCTGACTCCCAAAATTGAAGACAGTTACATTATTACCAATTGTCCTGTTTGCAATAGTTTCAACAGACTCAATTAGTAATTGTGATCTTCTTCTTTTCAACATTCCTCCTTCGTTCACTCCAATGTCATTTAACACCTTTGTCAAGCTCAGCGATAAATATTCTCTGTCTACCGACATTTTGCTTTCTGTAAAATAAATTTCGAATTGTATTATTTTGTATAAAGTCTTCTTGTGTAATAGTCAGACATAATTAGGTTCTCGGCTAAAGAAAAATACATATTTAGAATGTTCATGTATTTCAAAAATTTAGCTGATAACAGATTTAAATAATGTACAGATATACGTTAGGTTTTCATTTTTGACTTGGATACTAGGTCATCACACACATGCTGAATATTATCACTCAGAACATTTTTTTTAGAAAATCCGTTGACTCGAAGGTAAAATATGAAATTATTACAAAAAATAGCGTATCAAAATATAATGTATCGCACCAATTGAAGTTGTAAGAATGTTTATAGCTTTATTGCCTGGTTTAGGCCTGAAAACGGAATACTTTTTTCCTCTAAATACTCCCACTCGGACTTTTCCCACACCCCAGAAATTAGTTTCAAACCTTCTTGAAACTTATTTTACACGTACCAGAGCATAAACCGAGTAATGTTTACACATGTTTTGAGATTGGTTTATAAATTTCTATTCAAAAGTCATGTTTTCTATTTTTTTCTTTTTCATAAAAATAGAAAATGCTCCTAGTCGGACTTGATTTCAGAAATTCGGACGTCTACATTTTAAACAAAATACATGGTACTATGTACTTTACATCTTCACACAAAATTCGTAGTAAATTTTCTAAACATTTTATGGAAATGTACTTTTTCACTAGACACTCCTATGTTTTGAGATTTTACATACTTAGAATGTTCTTCAACAGCTCAAGTGATAAATACTTAGTTTATCAGTTTATGTTAATTTAAATATTTGAAGGGAAACAAGATCACCGGCTGTAGTGCAACGCTTAGTTCAGAGCGGTATGGTGTTACTTAACTTTACAATAAGATGCATCAATGTCATTGTGAATTCTCAAAATATTGGTAATTTTACAACATTTTAATTACGTGCCATGTGAAAAGGGGGCATAATTCTACAAATCCTGATCACTTAGTTGTATCCCTTGTCCCAATTGACATTTATGATAAAAAATAAGTACAATCTTTTTAATAGTTTTTAATTTATCTTATTATCTAATCAATATCCAAATTAAAAATTCTTTGTTGGGTTGTGTCTGGCATTGCGTTCTGTGAACAACGTCGTCTTGCCTCGTTGATCTTTTTGCTCCTTTTTATCCCCCCCCCCAAAAAAAAAAAAAAAAATAAAATAAAATGTTTTAAGGATATTGACTATAGACTAACAACCGTTCATTGTCATGATAATCAATTTTTTGTTGTTGTTAAACCTGATAATTTCAAATAATTCTATATATGCATACTTTTACTTGTAAGTAAAACAATGACATATCTCAAAAAAACTGAGCTTACAGAATATTCATGTTTGTCTAACAAGAGTGTCATCTGTAATGATTACCAAGCGTTCAATGTTTCATGATGATACCGTTGATAGTTTTGGAATCATTCTACATAGAAAGCAAATTTTAAAACAATTGTACGTTGAAAAGGAAATATAACTCCAAAATAAAGTAAGCTTTCACAACACTGCCTCTTGTTTTATAACAACATCTTCCAATTTTAATGAAATATTTCAAGTTTTGTGTTGATACCTTTATGAGTGTTTGAGTAATGTGCTACATTTTAATTTTTGTACAACGACAACAACTACGACGCTGTGATCATAATAGCTCAACCTTAATTTTAAAACAGATGGGCTGAAAGTGTTATTTAAAATGTTAAAAAAATGTTTCAAAACATTTTCTCGTACTTAATATTTCTTGTTTTTTCACAATAATGAGGTGTTTTTTGGGATTTTTTCTCTACAAATTGAGACAATGGGTACACGAAGATGATATGAGAGAATTGAAACACTGTGCAATGTGATTTAATATGTATTGTGAAAAAATTCATACCAACATTTTCTAATGTTATAGGAAACTTTATTACTTGAAAGGTTCTAAATATGTGTAAGATATAACTTTAAAAGTAGTATTTGGAGTAGTATCTGCAAAACACATCTTTTGTGGTTCATATTTCATTAAGCAACCTGAAACTATCACTAAGCTGCTGAAATTCTTAAATGACATTGGTGAGCTTTCTGTTTTTGAAAATGGCACATATCAATTTTTGGGGATTTAAAGAGGACGAGAGGACATTGATTTTTCCTTACATCTCTCATCTGATCATTAAGGCTCTTAATAACAAGGAAAAACATTTATTGGTAACTCTGAAAAAAGCAGATATAAAGTCTGATTTTTTTAAAAAAATAATCAAAACTAGTATCACGATAGTCATATCTGCATCATAAAATGTTAACATCTAAAACAGTGACTGGTTGAACAGTGACTGGTTGATATGGAAAAGCAATTATTGGTATGACAGTCACTGGTTGTTGTCGAAAGTCAATGAATACTGTGAAAGTCACTGGTGGCTAAGGAAAGTCAATGGTTGCTATGAAGTCAGAGTTACTACGGAAAACAATAGTTGCTAAGAAAAATCAAAAGTTGCTATGAAAGTCAATTGTTACTATGGAAAGACAGTGCTTAATATTGATGTCACAGGTTGTTATAAAATAAAATGGTTGTTAAAGAAATCACTTATTACTATGGAAGTCACTGCAACAGAAAGTAAATATTTGGAATTAGGAATTCGCTGGATGCTAAGGAAAGGCAATGTTTGCTATTGAAGTCAATGACTGCAAAGGAATGTAAATGGTTGCTGTGGTAATAATTAGTTGTTATAGAAAGTCAATAGCTGCTCTGGAATTCACTGGTTGTTATGAAAGTTTACTATAAAATACTTACATGCCAACGATAAACAAAATCATTGATTTCCTTAAAACGTTAACATGCGGTAACTATGAGGACAGACGGACGGACAACAGCATACCAACCTGAAAGTACGCCCCAAAGTTATTCGGGCGTATAAAAAGTATGTGATGATATGATAAAGTAAAAAATATATATACTTACAGTTTTGTCATTAATGTTTCTTCGCTCTGTCATAAAAGCAACAATTCTTCCTCTGAATAAATATCCAGATCACATTTAAAACATTTACTCACATCTTACGTATATCAGTGATAATAGCTTACTGAGAAAATAGAATCAACTTAGCTCAGTGAAATTGTTGTTGACATTAATGTTCCTGATGTTCTTATGTTCAAGTGAGGAAGTTGTGAATTGTAAACGTACATATTGTCAAACTTATAGAAGTTTTTAAAGGATGGGTAAGATAAAATTTATAAAGGTTACAAAAATTTCGCTATTGATTAGAGTTATCAAATTATACATACATACTATAACATACAGTATTTAACACAGTTGACAGAGATGGAGAAAAAAACACTACAGAAACATTCACTGTGTGGTCCAGACCGGTAGGACATTTACTTTGGGATTAAGAAATGCTGGGTTCAAGCCAGGGATATTTCTAATTTCCTTTAAAGATGCATACCTCCGAGAAAAAATGTGCTCAGACTTGAAGAAAAGTAAAAATTAAAGTAATAATATATATGTTATGTGCGATTAAATACCGATTTTGCAGTATTTATGGACCCTTTGTTTGTATTTACAGTTCAAGTAAAGCTGGTCTTTTTTTCTAGAAAAACAGCAGTTTGTTATGGCACTATATACACGGTAGGGAATCACGTGACTTTTACGGTTACGTTACAGACAATATGGCGGCCTAAAACCTCGCTTCACATGTGTTTTTCAGGTAATTCTTTATATTACCCCTTTTACTTACATACGAGACCTGTTGCAGCCTACGCAGAATAAAGAATTGTTGCCGCCTATACCTTATTTTCCACCCCTGTGCTCATAGCTTTTACAAACACCCAAAAATTCAACAGAAATTTTCAATGTGGACAATTATTTTTCGGGTAACATTTACGCAAAATTTGAATTTTTTATGAATTTGATTAAACTACGCCGCGTTAGCAAAGAGAAAATGTTCATAGAATTTCTTTATTTGAAAATGTAAATATTAGGCATGTTAAATGTTGGCTGGTCATTTTCTATTCCATTACACGAGAGAAAAATGATTTGGGTATCTCCCACGCGTACTTTTATTGTTGATAACTCCCACGCAATATTTTATGTACAAGCAATATCTATGCAGGTTATAGCCTAGATTGAACAAAATCATGATTGATGCATTTAGCCTTACACGTTCACAGAATTTTGAATAATATTTAAAATACCGCCAAAAGGTCCTGGATAGAATTAAGCCCCAGTGGATAACAGAATACATACTCACGTGAATATATTAAATGAAGTTTCGATATAGATGAATAAATCCGAGAATTAAAATAAAAGTCTCAAATATAAGAAGGAGGTTGATTTCAGTTTAAGAACAATTACAATTGTCATTTTTCATAGTTTGCAGATATGGACGGTTCCAGCTCGGATATTGTTTGTGGATAATGTTTGAAAACATTTGTCTTAATGACCACATAAACAGGCTACTCGGCACATGACCTTGTAAATGTTGTGGCAAATCGAAACGTCACAGGTATGGCATTTTACTGTTATTCGTAATATTAAGATTTTAAAGACATTCAAATCATTTTATCACTTAGTCTTTTATGTAACCAACTATTTTTCAAATTAGTGTCTGTGTTTAACAAAAAAAGAAAACAACCTAAAGAATATTAGAATGGGTCTTTTATTTCACAAACTAGGTAATAAAATCTAGAGGACTAATGTTTGAATGTCATCATAATGTTGACAGTAAAACCTGTAACGTTTCCGATTTGCTGGACTATAAAATGTTTTACCACAACATTTATAGGGTCCTATGTCGTGTAGACTGTTTATGTGGTCATTAATTGAGACCTATCCGTGAATGAAATGTTTCCCACATTTATCACAAACAATATCCGAGATGGAACCTTCCATATCTGTAAAATATGAAATATGGAAAATGACAACTGTAATTATACTAATAAAAACAGAAATACAAAACCTCCTTCTAATATTTTAGACTTTTGTATCAAAACGCGACCTAATTGAATG